ATAATCGAAATTTGTCGAACCACCGGGATCACGAAGATAAGACGTTTTGTACCTCCTGGGCTGTCACGAGGAATAACACGTCGCGGCCGCAGGGCTCAAAGCTTAACAGCACACGAGGGAGGGCGTTGGTACGCTTAAGGATAGACGCGCTGACCGCCATAGGTGGCTACGAAATGGTCTCGTTTTCTTCGACGAGCGTGCCATAGACTATTGCTCGGACGAGATTTGTACAATCAATGTATGACGCCTCAACCGCATTCAATCGCATTCACCACTGGAGGGCAAACCGTCATGCTTGTATGGAGTCATCCACCTTCTCTGCGTGTCCTCTGTAGTATTTTCCCTGAGTACAGAACGCGAATGACGTAGCAGCTTTGAAACAGCTAGCTCCGTCGTAAACGCTGACCGATAGCCTAGGGCAAGACCGGGAGATATTCACCGCCTGGAGAGGTTTTGCTACGACCCTCAGCGCTTCTCTATTACAACCGGACAAGCATTGACCGGTTGTAGCGGGCTCGTCTTCTCTCTTCCAATGGATGGACCACTTGCCTCATCCGTGTGCCTTGCCGTTGTGTGGTTCGTCCCGAGTCGGTTGTGGCGTTGGACAGTGGCATGTGGAGTGGAGTGGTGCTGGATCTTCAAGACGGAGGAGGGGGTTGAAGCTACCAGAGTCCTGTCGGCGAGACTGCATCAATCCGTCATCGTTGAACCGCTCAATGTCTTCGTCCAAGCGAGCGAGTGACTGTTTCGCGAAACGCCTGCGTAAATGGTCGCTCTACATCGCTCCAACACTACTGAATGATGCGTTATCGTGTTCCGTCGATAGTTGAAGCCTCTTCCCTCTATAGACTAAACTATTGGACGCACAAGAACGTCTTTCTTTTCCAGTACTCGAGTGATCTGAGGTCAGCGGAGGGCGGGTGAAAGCTCGTAACTACGCTGCACCAGGATTCACTCCAGCGTTGAAAACGCAACTGGTTTTGAAGATGCATGTTCTTGGCATGTAGTATACTTGTGTAGGCTAAGCGATGTCCTCTCACCAGCTTCAAAACACGCAACACTACAGCAAAACTCCCAACTCGATGGAAAAATCTATGAACCTCCAGCTAGCTGCAGTACCATGTCATTATTCAAACAAAACATGAGGCCCCTCATGAGCGACCTCACGAGGCCTCATGAGCGCTCATGATAGTTCATGACAGCTCATGATCGCGCATGACAGCTCACGCCCGCTCATGACAGCTCATGACAGCGCATGACAGCGCATGACCGCTCATGAGTGGTCATGACACCCCTTGACCGCTCGTGGTCGATTATGACACCTCATGACAGATCATGACACCTTATGAACGCTCATGGCCGCTCATGACAGATCGTGAACGCTCTTGACAGCTCATGATCCCGCTCGTGTGTAATGAGCTTTCATGAGATGTCATGATCGGTCACAAGCGCTCATGAGCGCTCTTTATGCGGTGTGGGGTGTCATGAGCGGTCTTGAGCGGTCACAAGAGGTTATGTGCCATCATGAGCGGTCATTAGTGAGGTGGCATGAGCGGTCTTGACGCGTTGTGAGGTGTCATGAGGCGCCATCGGCGAACGCGAGGTGTCATGAGCGTTCACGAGGGCTCATGAGCGGACATGAGATGTCATGAGCTCTAATGAGGTGTCATCAGCGGACACGAGCGCTCATGAGCATCAGCGGTCATTTGCGAAGATGAGGTGTCATGAGCGGTCACAAGCGGTCATGACCGCCCATAAGCTGTCATGAGCTATCATAGTCGATCATAAGTGGTCATGAGCGATCATGAGGTGTCATGAGCAGTGATAACGTGTCATTAGCGGGCATAAGGCATCTATAGCGGCCACGAGCGCTTAGGAACGCTAATGAGGCATTATGGGGTCTCATGAGCGGTGATGAGCGATCATGCTGCGATGGGCGGTCACAAACGGCCATGAGCTGTCATGAGCGATCATGAGTGGTCATGAGGCGCCGTGGCGTGTCCCATGAGGCCCGTCATGAGCCATCCTATGAGCCATCCTATGAGGCGTCGTGGAACAACTCATGAGGGCTCATGATGGCTCATGATCGCTCACGAGGGGCCTCATTTTTAACTCAAATGATGTACATGACCCCGCTGCAGCAATAGTGGCAGCAGTTGTACCGTAGCTCGGATAGCCTGGAGATCTTTCCTGCTTCCAGTTTTCACCTTCAAGTCTTCTCGACGCTACCGTAATTCCACAACAACAACGCTCGATGTGCTGTTGCTGTTGTCTTCACATTAAAAACCGCTTCGATCTCTCTACCCTCAGCATCTTCATATGTCCGTACTGATCCAACACTTGATGAGGTCGATTCCCATGGTCACAGGCTGACTTATCCTAATGATGGTACACTTAATACAAACATGGACCGAAGGAGGCCCGTAAGTCAATAGAAATCAACGACAGAAAGTCTGGAGCCCTCTGCTCCCTCTACACGCCATGTGAGGCAAAAACTGAAACTGGGAGACAGCATCACGGGCCAGAGAGAGAAGTACACCCATCCCCTGGCTCAATCTTGGTACTTCACAGCACAAAAAGAGACGACCACGTGGAAGAGAAAGAAAAATAAAGAGAAACCAGAAAAAAGGAACACGCAAAACAATCCGCGACAGTATTCTACTAAGCGAACAAACACACAAAAAAACACAGCCACCAGCGACAGCACGGGTATCTCATCGCTCGTGGGGAAGGTTGGTGCAATGGTTCAGGGTCGGGAGGGGGGGGGGGATTGGCCGAAAGAAAAATAAACTGCAGTAAATCCGGTACATATCGCGCCACTCGATCCGCCTCTTCTCGTTTGCTGTCTTCCCTCGCTGTCTCGTCCGTCTGCCGCCCCCCTCCCGCCCCATCGGTTGTTGCCACATGTGCACTATTGCTGGGCTTGTTGTCTCGTTTGAGCGCTCGTTATCGGCTAGCCTTCTCTTGATCTTTGTGCCAGGAGGAGATGAACCTCTCAGCTCCCTGCAGCACCCCCGTATGCCATGGAATTCCCCCAACCACCTTCGCTGCTTCCATCTAAGTTGGTTGCGGAACTCCGAAAACACATGGCTCGTCGTCCGTAGACCCGTGCTCAGCCCCGAACGTACGCTGCAGAAATGTCTTCGAAAGCTGTCCCCCTATTTCCTTTGGTGCGACGCACTCATCGCCCTTGTTTGATGTCGAAGAACGTACACCAACCGAGGTTTGTCAATTGCGTCGAGGAACACGACTGACTACACCTCGCTCTTGTGGACACCACATTTAGCGTAAATCCCTCAGGTCGGCGACGTGTCTGCGGAACAAGAGATGGTCCACGGCAGCATCGAGATCGAGGGGCCGCGAAAATGTTTACATGTCACATGCCAGAGAATGCGGAGGCATTCGCAACACCGTTGTCTTAGAACCCACCGGGAATGTCACAGCCACACTGCACCATGTACCGCCTAAGACGCGAGTTGTGCGCCGGACGTACGTTCACCAGCACTTCACGGCCGGATTTTTCGGGATGGTGACTGGCTGAGCGGAGAGATTTACGGCACAGGCGGTACCCCTAGGGGCATGTCGCCAGAATATCTCTATATTGTCCTGCAACCAGAATGTCGCTTCATAGACGAACAACCTGCCTTGCTAGATCGTTGCGGAGTTGTCGATTCCTCAACAATTTCTTGCTTTTCACCCATCGTCTCTCGCAAACCCACGGCTCTACATGGCACTCAATCCAGCGCCCCACGCTCGCGGAGGAGGTATGCAGTCAGACATCTCTTTCGCGAGTCGCATGGACCTCTTGACAACGCATCCTGCATGAGACAAAAGAAAGAACCTTCTACGTATGACTCCGGGTGTTCGGTATTGCTCTGCTCTGGGCTAAACTATTCGTGGGCAATTCTTGCCCGTTAAGTCAATTTCCAGGTGAAAAGCGGTGGCTGTTCCTTACCTTGGTGACGCAACCACGTCGACGGCCGGTTAAATGGCTTCGTACACCGACATGCTGAAGTACCCCCCGCAGGTTTCTTCGGAGTTGCCCGAGCAGCGCATGTCACAGACTCCTTCGCCGTTGACGGAGTATTGGGCGTTGACGTCACCGCACCAGCACTGTTTTCGGTAGGGATGGAAAATGCAGTGAGGCGTTCGTTCAGGGTGTCGTGGAATCAGAGGACAGGGAGCGTTGTTGTGTGAAAAGATCCAATATTAAGCAAAAGATGACTCGAATAACGTGGAGTAGTTCGTGGTGAAATGAGGGAGATGTATAGATGGTGTCAGCACGTATCACGCAGCACGAGAAACGTCGCTGATGACTTACGGCAATCGGTTCGAGAAGAAGCATACTCCGATCCAAGCACAGCCATCGCGCTAAGAGGGCACGGTTGGGGATGTGTACAACCTCGTTGTGCTGACGAGTGCCTAGGCGTGTTATCAGAAGGATTTGAGGAGGCCATGCCTGTACAAAAACCAACGGAACCCGAGGGCAGAACGTGCCCCAACGGTGTTGCTTCGGTTCGACTGGCCGGGGCACCCCCCGTCGCAAGCAAGCACTTCGCCGTGGACCTCTCGCGTCGGAACGAAAGGCATTGGACCATACCATCCCAATCCCCAGGTGGGGACCCTTTTCATACTGAAGCCAAGTCAGCATTTTTTTCCAGTACCAGGCTATGTACAGTTGTACAACCTAGGTGTTCAAGTTAGAGGCCGAGAATAGGCATCACACAGAATATCGCACAGCGTGCCACCTCACCCAAGCATGATAGACCAAGGGTTCTCACGTGCGTTTATTTCACACAGCGGAGCCTAGGGCGATTGTGGTGTCGTAAACAGACAGTTGAGATAGGCATATGTGTCCCCAAGTCGTCCCCAAAGGGCTTCCAGTACTAGAATACTGTAAGAGGGTTAACGTAATGACAAGCGTTCTGTGATGGTGTCTGGGACGGGTGGTGCGTACTAGCTTGTAAGCACGAGGCTCCTCACTACAGTAGAGCATAAAGCTAGTGAGAGAAGATGACGGGGACCAAACAACTCGGCATTTCAGTCGCTGGTGGATGAGAACAGCATACACACGTTGTCCACTTCACAAGTGTGGTCGACGGAGGCCGGTCTTCTCCGAACCGCGCGACGACCATACTATACGGAACATCGTAACACCAACTACCTTGTACGATGTACTTGGCGGGCCGCTTGTGCACAAGCCACGACTCCCATGATGAGTGATCCATAGATTTCGAGCGGGTGCACAGAGCAGCGAAGGCAATCGTACGACACAGATATGATCCGAGGCACGTCGGTGACTTGAAAAATCCACCAAGACCATGACCGTGGGCGTGATTGTTGATTTCAACGGCCGTCATGCAGTTCCGACACACGTTAGCGCAACATGGACACGCCGCGATCCATACCACGGGTTATGTGCGGCAGAACTAGAACTCTCACCTCTGTCGAATACTGAGTTCCGTAGTATTGGTAAGCACTGCAGTGCCCCATGCAGGTCTGTGGCCGATTGTTCACATTGGAGGGAAGCCAATGATCGGTCAAAAGAAGCGCGAGACAAGTGAAATGGGAATAACATGCAAGTTTGTTGGGTGTGTTTGGCGTGCTGGTCCAACGATGATTTCGAACGCTGGTGAAAAATGCCGTGCAACGACAAACCTCGAATATCAACACAGAAGTACCACTCAGAGCAAAACCCACGTGACATTGAGACAAGATCACATCACCAACAGCTCAATACATGACCCGAGATGTTCAAATCTAGCTTGCTTGCTCACTCACCTCGGAAGTCATGTCTTGAGAGGAAACCACAAGCTCGAAAATACGGTTGTCGGCCGGGTCGGAGTAGCATCCACGGAAAATCGGGTCGTTCGGGGTCACGCCGTTGACGTAAACCGAGAGTGCGTCCCGTCCGCCACATGTCTCATCAGAGTCGCCGGAGCAGGACATGTCGCACACGCCGGGGCCGTTGGCGTCGTAGTCGGCGTTGTCACCGCACCAGCACTGTTTTCAAACCATCGGCGAACGTTTCGGGGGCAAAAGGATGGCGTGAGTGGAGACCAAGGGCTCAGGTGTTGTGGTTGCGAGAGTGGCGTGCGGCGTTGTCTAGAATACCATGGGAATAGTTCGGGTGGAGGTGTTGGGGTGCCGCCGAGCAACCGTCGAGGAAAGAATGAGTTCATCTGAAAATACACGAAAGACGCGCTCCGATCCTGAGGCAACCATTCCAACTGATCGTTTGTGTCCATCTTGTTGCAGTCCGTCATCGTTAGTCTAAAGAGAGAAACTGACCCCCATGGATGTGTAGCGCAGACTGAGCGTGAGCGTGTCAAGGACCGAACGACCAGTCAGACAAGAGAAATGTGTGGCGAACATATACCAATGATCTTCGATGGCATGGTCTACAAGGAAGGCAACGTAGAACGGTTGGCACGTTGAAACCGTCTTGCCATTGTTCTCGCAGGTACGGAGATTGCACGACGACCAACGTGCAGGCATTTTCGCGATACCGCACAGCCCCCGTCCCCAATATGTCCATCATCAAATATGTACTATCGCGATCTACACCTCTACAGTACCGTTGATCGGCGTATGACCCCGTTGTTTCCAAATCTAAGAATTCCTAGCATACCTCTGTCGAGTACTGGGTGCCATAGAAGAGCGAGCCGGAGCAGAGCACGGAACAGACCTGTTGTCGAAAGGCCGTGTGCACAACCAAAGCGGTCGACAATCCACGTTTGGCGACGGGGGGAGCAAGCAGTAATGGACGTGTGCACAGACAATATGTGGAACAAATGGAAACACTGGGTGTGGTGGTGAGTTTCAACCGTGGACAAGTTCCTGTCTGTGCCATTACCATACACCGCCAGCAAGCAACACTTGCCACAAGCATCAGGCAACGCAAAGGGTACATTCCATCGCGCACAAACTCGCGTGGACAACGGTTGCAACCAAACACACGCACGTGTAGCAATGGCGATGAGACTGGTGGTGGTGAAAGCAAGGAGGGTGGTGAAACCACTCCGAAACGAACTCGAGTGCAAGGTGGCAGGATTGACAAACACGGGAAGATTTCTTCTGTTGCTACCGTTTCTGTCTTCAAGCCGGAGAATGCATACAGCAGCTTGGCCTCCCCCATGATGCCCCCTTACGGGGTCCGCCCCAGTTGATGGCATTTTGAAGTGTTTTGTGTTTGTAACCGCACTTAAGACTGGCGCCTTTTCATTGGTAAGCCAGTTGGCGCGGTCGATGCTGATAATATACACACGCACATCGTGCATCCACATGCGTTTCGAGCCATCGATTGGTCACTCACCTCTGCGGTCATGGCGGAGTCGGAAGACTTGAATTCGAAGACGCGGTTGTCTTGAGGGTCCGAGAAGCACCCGAGGTAAGACACGAACTGACCTGCGTCGGCAACAGCCAGACGACGCGGGCCTTACGAACTGACAAGATCGGTACTAGAAGGCGCCCAAAGTACCAAAGTCAGTCGCAGGAGGTACTGTAGGGATAGTCTACGTGCGTAATATGGGTGGAGCCTGTACGGTTGGACGTATCAACAGAGATACGCAACTATTGGTGTCCCCGATATTGGTCCCTCGGTTCTGAGGGTGCCGAACTCTGCCGTCGAAATTCTTGGGCCGGTAACCTCTGGTTGCTGAGGTAACGGACACGCACCTGTTGATACGATTTTCACGTTTTTCCGCTCTACCTAATCCAACACTGCTTTTCGGAGGATGGAATTTCACACATGCCGGGAGCAGTACCCGTACAGCACAATGCGCAAGCTTTGGTCAACCTCCTCGGCGAGATGACTGCGGTGGCACATCGGTAAGATGACTGTGATAACGACGCTAACTCGGATCGTAATCATTTTCCACTTCCCTGTTTCACGTATCGCCGTTTGACATCATGCATACACTACCGACAGTCAAGATGCAAGACCGTTGGCTGACACACCACCAGCTCTTCATTATTCAGTACTGACCGGGACGAGGCATCTATATCTCATCGTCAAAGTCACGCCCCATTCCTTCTCCGATACGTATCATGTGGACCGACACTTCTCGACAACCAATCATGTACGACCTTGTGAACTGCCGTATACTTTATTCCACATGTCTCCCGAAGCGGCTATCAAGAGAAGTCGCAATGGTTGTTATTTGAATGACAGTATGTACCATTGGGAGGCCCAGTCGCACGAGACTGGTATACTGTACAACAGTTCCGTCCCATCTGGGTGTGTTCCGGCGGAGCTCTCGTGTTTTAAAGCACCAAAGATACGCGTTGGGATACCGCAGGGGCTTTGTGCCGTGCAGAACGTGTGGTACTACCGGGCATGTCTCCCTCCGTAGGCCACCGAAAAGTACATTCAAGGCGAAAAGCAACAAAATCAATACCATGAAGCCTTTCTCTTGATATATATAGTCAGAAACGCTGGCGTCATGCCTACTCCGTAGTTAACGAGGTGGAGCGCCCCCCGTCAGTGTGTTCACCAGACAGGCATCGTGACCAGCCAACGTCATCAACGACCCACCTGTGCACGCCGACGTTGGGTGCTCACAGTCGTATCCGGCAATGCCGCACTTACGGTAGAGCCCATTTATACATTCGCACCCACAGCACTGCGTGGTAGGATGTTCGAAACGGTGGGGGAGGGGTTAGGTCAGAGAGAGTTCTACGGTGAGCACCACGTCTCTGTCGAGGCCAGCGCACTCCTGATGTATCACAGCCCCACGGAGAATCTTGCAAAGGACCGAGTAGGAACAAGGCGGTTGAGAGCCCACGGAGCACATTTCACACGGCGCTCCGATGGACGCGGTTGCGTCGATTCAGACACGCGTATACAACTCGGCATTGACTATGAGCAGTAATGACGGAAGACCCATCATCGTTCAATCGACGCATGGGTCCAACTCGGCGCATACGCAACCGACCCCGAGTCGACACTACAAGTCTTCAAACGTACGTACAACAGTGATACTGCATACTCACATCTCCACCGTCGTACCCGCACTCTTCGATGTTGTTCTCTGAAACGCACGTGACAGTACAGGAGAGGGACAGGGTTCTCAGTTCTTCTGTGCGTGGGTTCACACTGTGTGCCTAGCGTAGAATCACCAAGAAATGTGGAACACCTGTTCCTATTCACACGACGGCTTGCGGACCCTAGCACGCGTAGTGCGGCTCTTCGTCACCGGCGCCGAGGGTGCATGCATACTCCGAGCGGACACTTCATACTCTACCCCCGCCGCGGACGTCAACTGGCTTCCCACAGCAGATATGCCTACAGTATGTTGATCCACGTCTCCACGTAAAACGGTTCCGGTACACGTCTGCATCCTCCCTTGTTGCCACATCTCTGGCCCCGACAATCAGACTCAGAGCGTACCGAGGTCACACCAGCCATCCGGAAGCCACGACAGCTCTCCCCCGTTCGCGGTGCAATCAGGGTAGTGGCAAGTCGAGGCAGGGTCCAGGCAACTGTATCGGTCTGCGCCGCATGCGTACTCCCCATCTTCACAATCGCAGACACAGCACTGCACCGGCAGTATCGAAGAGTGGAGGGCGGCGGTACTATGGTTAGTTGTAGCGTCGCATCGGAGACTCCCGGGGCCGTTTCAGGTGGCGCCTCGATCGAGACAGCCACACTCCTGAGGTGAGGAGAACGCCTAGGCATTGTAGCGCCAGAGGCCTTTGATCGAACCGGCTTTGTTCATCGGGCTCGCATGTATGTCTGAGTCCTCGCATGCTAACCGCAGCCATACAACTCTAGCAACAACATTCGACTCATAGCGATGCATCGGTCTCATGTTTTTTTTCTGCTTCTTATAGGATCTCATGGGTTTTCTGATGGGAACTCACGGATTCTCATGGGTTCTCCTGTGTTTTCATGAGTTTTCATGGACCCTCATGGGCTCTCATGGGTTCCCATAGGGCCTCTCGAGGTTTTCATAATTCTCATGAGAGTTCTCGTAGTTTCTCCAAATAGTGTATATGATACGATACATCGTTCGTTGCACTCTGATGCAAACACCACCCAGTAAGTCAAGACCAGCAATCGTTGGTGTCGAAAGGCCGGCCATAGACTCACATCTCCACCGTCGTACCCGCACTCTTCGATGTTGTTGATGTGGTCACCTGAAACGCACGGGACAACACAGCAATGGGGTAGGGCTCTCGGTTCTTGTTGCCTGGCTTCACACTGTTGTTATTGTTGTTGTTGTTGTTGCTTCGTCGTCGTCTTCACATTAACAAAACTGCCCCTGACTCTCTACCCAGTGCCTTCATCTGTACGCACCGATTCAACACTTGACGCGGTCGATTCCGTGGTCACAGGACAACCTACCCAAAGAAAATGGTGTGCTCAAATACAATGGACTGTGCCAAGCGTTGAATCACGAAGAATCGTGATGTTGCTGTCCCCATGCATGTAGACTATACGACCACTGGCGGACCTTAGCACGCCGTTGGCGGGTGCGGTTTCGTAGCCGACACAGCGGTTCCTCATGCATACTCGGAGAACACGATGAACTCTACCCCACCGCGGGGGTCAACTGACTCCCCGTAGACAGACATAATGCCTATGTTGATCCCCGTCTCCACGTAAGCGGTATGGGTAATGAGTCCTTCTCTTTTGTCTATCTTAGTGACCGACAATCAGGCTCAGAGCTTACCCTCGTAGTCACAGCGGCCATCCCCAATCCGTTCGACGACTCCACCGTTCGATTCGCACTCAGGAAACGTCGGGTCGTTCGGGGTCACGCCGTTGACGTAAACCGAGAGCGCGTCCC